GGTCTCAGGGGAGCTCATAGTTTTGCAAAAAATCTAACAGGTAAAACAATTGATGATGACAGTGTGTGACAAATGCTACTGGTATTTACAACTGTCCTAGGAGGACAACAGTGTGATCAATCAATTAATTAATTAATTCTTCCTCTAGATGGTCAAGGGGAGGTTTGATAGAACATGGAAGGTTTATTTAAACCTTCACAAATGGCTAAGAGAAGGGGCTGAGGCAGTAACAGAGGAAATGATAAAACAAAGACTGAAGTAACTGGGATGTTTCCAAATATCAACAATGATCAGCAGCAAAAAGGATCCTTTCAACTGATGTTCTTATTTTATCATATGAGTACCTACCACATAGGGTTATTGTGAGGAGTAAACATAGATATGCATAAAGCCCTTAAAACAGTTCCTGGCACATAGTAAATGCTCAAGAAATTTTAACTATTATTCTTGTTGCATTATAGGTTCTATCACATATTTTTCATCTATTCAACATATCTTCATGTTTTTTCTGGTTCTTGTCTTGGTTCTGGATAATTGTAGCTGCTGAGTAAGTGATCTCCAGTTAAATGATATTTTATTTGGATACATATCTGAAGAGCTAATGTAGGCGTTACACCTTCCAGAGTAAAAGAGTAAGGGGAAATGACAGATAATCATGGCTGAGAAGTGTACCATAAAAATATAATTAACTGGACCACATCTAGTTATTATTCTCAATTGATCAGATTCTTTTACACCTTTCTTTTTGAAGAGAGAGACAAAAGTTAGCAAAACAAGCTCATATCTAAGATTCATTAAACCAGCCTATTAATATAGTAAACTTTGGGATCAGTACAGAAAAGTCCAGCTCAATATCATATATATCCTAGTTATACCAATGATTTTGAAAAGTGATGTTCTGAATAATGCCTTGTAAGAGACTAGGAAAAAAAAAAATTCAATTATGTTTCTTTTCTTACTGAGGTAGGATGAGGTACAAAGGTATTCTGATTTTTCTTTAATAATTTGCAGTCTTTAATTTATGACTTATAATGCATTAACATATCTTACATCATTTGAATTGATAATCAGATTAATTTATTTACTCAAGGTCACAATATGTGCAAGGTATAACAAGAGTCCAGATTTTCTTACTCCTATGACTGTGCTCCTTCCCTTAAAACTTTTTTTTTCTTTTTGGTTGTGGGCTGCTACAGGGATCTGAACCCTTGACCTTGTGTTACAACACTGTGCTCTAACCAACTGAGCTAACTGGCCAGCCCCCCTAAACCATCTTGAAAGATTTCTAAACAAGACTAAGCCAAAAGTTAGCTATTAATTATTTAGTTGACTAAAAATGCAAACACCTTTGTTAACTGGGTTTTTACTTACAATGACATATAATAGCAGACTAGCATAGTTAGATATGCCTACCTACGCTTCCTCCAAAGAATTGTTTTTGCCATAATCTAAACAGCTATCAAAATTACAAAATAAATTATTATAAATCTAAATTATAAACCCCTTTCCTTTGAGATTTTGATTTTAAATTAATGGTAAAAAAAAAAAAAAAAGCAATTGGGGCCGGCCCGGTGGCGCACTGGATAGTGCGCCGCTTGGGAAGCGCGGCGGCGTTCCCGTCCGAGGGTTCGGATCCCACATACGGACCGGTTCCCGCTCACTGGCTGAGCGAGGCGCGGGAGCAACGCCGAGGGTTGCGATCCCGTTGCCGGTCCCCGGTCTGGTACGGGGGCAACACTGAGGGTTGCGATCCGTTGCCAGACACGGAAAAAGACAAAAGACAAAAAAAAAAAGCAATGAAGAATTCCAGAAATAGCAGAATAAATGTTACCAGGCTTTCTCTCCCATTATAAACAACCATAAAACTGAACAAAATATTTTCAGACACTGGAAAATTGGCAGCTCATGATTACAAACCCTGAGATAATCCAGATGTACAAATTAACAGAGAAGGCCTTTAAATCAGCTATTATAAATATGTCCAAGGACGTAAGGGAAAATATGATCTCAATGAGTGAAAATATGGGGACTCTCAGCACAGAAATGAAAATTAAGATTCAAATGGAAATTCTAAAACAATATGTACAGTAGCATATAATTTCACCAGATGGGCTTAAATGCAGATTTGAGACAGAAAATAAGCATCCCCAGGCAGCTACTAAAAAAAAAAAAAAAAAAAAAAAAAAAAAAAAGGGTCAAGGAACTTAAAAAAAGATGGGGAGAACATATGGGAAAAATAGATTATAAAAATAAAATAAACAGGACCTCAGTAACCTATGGGATAATAGCAAGCAGTCTAACACTCATGCACTTGAGATCCTGAAAAAAAAAAAGATAGAATGGGGCAGAAAATATACTTGAAACAACAGTTTTGAAAATGTACTAAATTGGTAAAAAACATCCATCTACTACAGATCCAAGAAACTCAGCAAACTCCACGCAGGATAAATACAAAGAAAACCATACTTAGGCACATTGCAGTCAAATTAGTAAAAAACAAAGATAAAAAGAAAATATTGATTGACAACAGCCAGAGTAAGAAAAGACATTACATAAAGGGAAACAAGAAGAAATGGAATTTAAGAAATAAAATGACATATGTAAAGGCTAAACTAAGAATAAAATTGTCAACCCAGAACTCTATATTTAGCAAACTATCCTTGAAACATGTGGGTAAAATAAAGACATTTTCAGATAAACAAAACCTGAAAGAATTTGCTGCCAGCAGACTTGCGCTGCAAAAAAATACCCATGGAAGTTTTCCAGGCTGAATCATACAAGGTGGAAATAATACATGTATGGAAAAATATAAAACACTAGCCTAGCTTAGTTTTTTCCTTTTATAAGCTTCCTTAAAAGACAAATGACTGTTAAAACAAAAATCATTGTATATGGGGTTTGTAACACATGTAGAACAAAATTAAAATAATTCAAAGGTCCGATGAGGATATAAACAAAACTGTTGTAAGGTTCTTATATTTATGACAATGAAGTATAAAGTAGAACAATATTAATTCTAAGTAGACTGTGATAAATTAAGTATGCATATTGCAATTGCTAGAGCAACCACTTAAAAAAATACAAAGAGATTATAAATAAAATGCCAATAAAAGAAATAAAATGAAAGGCTATAAAATATTTGACAAAACCAAAACGTAGCAAGAAAAAAGGAACAAAAAAATAGATGGAAACAAATAGGAATCAAATTGTAAGATGACAGACTTAAATCCTACCATATCAATAATTATATGAAATGTAAATGAACAAAATACTCTAACTAAAAAGCAGAGATTTTCACAATGGACAAAAAGACTGCCTACAAGAGATACACTTTAAATATATAGCCACAAATGTGTTGAAAATAAAAGGATAAAAAAAGATATACCATACAAATGGTAAGCACAAGAGAGCTGGCATGGCTAGATTAATATCAAGGTGGACATTTGGACAAGAACTAGCATCAGAGATAAAGAGAGGTGTTTCATAATGATGAATGTGCTAATTCAACAGGTAAACATAACAATTCTAAAAGTGCATATACAGAGCTCCAGAATAACAGGAGAAAAACGGGACAGGCTAAAGAAATAAGTAGACAAATCCACAATCATATTTGTAGATTTTAACAGTAATAAACAGAACAAGACGACCAAAAACAAAACAAAAGTAGATCTGAAAAACACTGTCAACCAATTTGACCTGACATGTGCACTAACACACACATATACATTCTTTTAAGTGTGCACTTGAAGCATATACCTTATACCATAAAATGAGCTATAAAATGATTCTACTAATCTCAAAAGACAAAATGTTCTTCCAATAGATATTCTCTGACAATAAGAGAATTTTAAATTATAAATCAAGAATAAGCTACCCAGAAAAAGCACAAATATATAGGGTGATTTAACATCTCACTCTAAATAACACTCTAAATAACATTCTAAATAATAAGAAAAATCACAAGGGAAATTAGAAAATAACTTTAACTACGTAATAATAAAACAACAAGGGCCGAGCCTGTGGCGCACTCGGGGGAGTGCGGCGCTGGGAGCGCAGCAGCACTCTCGCTGCGGGTTCGGATCCTATATAGGGATGGCCGGTGCGCTCACTGGCTGAGCGCAGTGCGGCCAGTCTCAAAAAAGGACAAAAAAAAATTAATAATAATAATAATAAAACAACAACAAAGCAAAATGTTGGTTCTTTGAAAAAATTAATAAAATTGGCAAACCCCTGGCATGACTCTAGAAGAAAGAGGAGGAGAAAAAGTAACAACAGGAAAGAAAGCAAAAGAAAAGACCAATAACAGGAATGAAGAATGAGCTAGAACCACAGATTTTACAGATATTAGAATAAGAAGATACTATTATGAACATCATACCAATAATTTTAGCAACTCATTTTGTATATAATTTTAGCAATTTTGGAATACTTCTAAGCAAACTCTTTAAGATCTCACAGCTATTATCTTTAGTGAGGTGGAAATAGAAAACAAGGACAAAAGAGTACATATTATGTGATTATATGATATTCTAAAAATGGCAAAGCTAATGTATGGTGATAAAATCAGAGCAGTGGTTACACATGGGACAGCAGGTGGGACAAGTGGAATTGACTGTAAAGAGGCACAAAGGATATTACTGGGATGGTGGAATGTTCTACTTTTTGATGGGAGTAGTGGTTACAGATGTACACAAACTGTGAAATTCATCACACTATAGACTGAACATCTGAATGTTACTGAATTCAAGTTTACCTCAATAAAATTAATTTTTAAAAATAAATCAATAAAAAATACCACAGAAATATAGAAGTAGGAAGCAATGTGAATTTAGTCAAGAATTATAAAATTTTGTGAGAGTTACATATAAAATTAGAATAAGAATATAATGAATATTTTTAAATTTTAAAAATTCTTCAAAAAATACTTTAATACTCGTACATACCTTTTTAACAGGATAGGAAGTATAAACTACTGGCTGGGAAGTGTGCTAGATGCTTTCATATAGTCGATCTCACAAAGATAGCATCATTGATAGCCTAGTAAGTTGATTTTCAGTAGGGTTCCAGGAATGATCTATTCGGTCTGACAGAGTATTAAAAAAGGACACAGGAGTATAAAAATCTGCAGGGTGACTACAATGGATGGCCCACATTTAAGACCAGAGAAGACAGGTGTCTTCATCCAAATGTTGGGACCCTAGTAGTGCACCTAGAAATTCAACACTCAATCACAGTACAATGTAATGAGTTATCTCATGGAGGTTTTAACAGAACGCTACAGGGGCACACAGAGGAGAGAATGAGCCAAGTGGGGGAGCTGGCAGCATCAGGGGAACTGTTTCTGAAAAGGGTGAGTCCTGTGCTGAACCCAGAGTTCTTAAGGAGTTATTTGGGCAAAAGGCATTTCAGGCAGGTGATAGAGTTTGGATGTGTTGTCCCCTCCAAAACTCATGTGGAAATCTGATCCCCAATGTGGCAGCATTGGAAACTGATTGGGTTATGGGGGCGGATCCCTCATGAATGGATTAATGCTCTCCCTGGGGGAAGGGGGATGAGTCAGTGAGTTCTCGCTCTATTAGTTCCCATGAGGGCTCGTTGCTTAAAAAGACCCTGGCACCTTCTCTCTCTCTCTTGCTTCCTGTCATCATGTGATCTGCTCGTATCCGCTGGCTGCCTGCCACTTTCTGCCATGCGTAGAAGCAGCCTGAGGCCCGTGCCAGATGCAGCTGTCCCAGAATCATAAGCCAAATAAACCTTTCTCCTTTATAAATTACCCAGTCTCAGGTATTTCTGTTATAGCAACACAAAACAGACTAAAACAGCAGGAGAGCAGGACATGTACAAAGGCCAACTGCAAGTCCTTCTGCATGGCTGGAGCATATGGTGTAAAGGGAAAATGGCATGGCAGAGGCCAGGTGGGGTCTTAGGACAGAGCTCTTTTAAAATAAAGAAGGGAAGCCGCTAAAGGATCTTAAACAAGCAGAACCACAATCAATATAGCATTTTTACAAGATCCTTTTAGCAACAGTGTGGAGAACATATTGGAAGGGGACAAAAGTAAGAGGCAGGGAAGCTAGTTGAAGTAAGTCAGGTGCAGGATGGTAGTGGCCTAAGGAGCAGCACTCAGAATGGAGAGAAGATGCACTAGACACAGGAGAGCAGAACTCTGAAGACGCCTTCACCGCTTTATGTGAAGAGGAAAAGAAAGAACCGAGCATGACTCCTAGGTCTCACACTCAGGCATCTGAATGGACAGCCCTGAAGCTCACAGAGATAAAGAGCAAGTCAACTCAACATTTGAAAGTATAAAAAACAATGATACAGGCACTAAATTTTAAAAGCAGTTAACACAACAAAAGCAGAGGCTGCCAAAGATAGTAGGGATACACATCTCTGAGAAAATCAAAAGCTTAAGTTCACAGAGAGGAATAAGTCAGAGTTAAAGAAATTCCTGTCTAACATATGTTGATGAATGAATAATCAAAGAATAAAACAGAAGGCAATTCACTAACAAGAGAGCCATCTACTGCCTTATGAGAATAGTGCAGCGATAAAATGCCACCAAAAATGTCTAAGAAAGCCAAGTTTCTGACCACTTCACATTGTACACAAAATATCTGACCCCTCCCACAAAAAAATTCCAAGTGGTTGGCACGTTTAATAATAGCCAGATGCTTTCACTTATTTATTTCTCCTAAGAACATCAATTCAGTATAAAACATCATTTGAATATAAAATGCTTACCTGCCATCATTGCTATCATACTGGCTTTATAGACATTAGTAAGAGATCCAAGTTCTCCTGTTGCTAATATGGTTTTGAGATGAGCCTCCCCACAGGCCTCACGAAACTGACGAATCTCATCATACAGGGCTGGGGAAGAAAATAATTGAGGCAGTTACAAAGCAGGCAAGTGATAACATAAGTTGGCAGCCATTTAGAGCTGGTAGAACCCATTTCAGATTTGGGAAACATAAAACATTTGTCACTTTCTAAAAATCACCCCAATTTAATATTGCCTAGAGCATTCTGTTGCAGTTCACATCCTGTTACAAGGAACACTTAGTTTGCTACCATGAAATCATTTCTAAGCCCTGTCCCGAGGTCCAGAGTCATGGAGCTCTTTTAATATCATTATAATGACACGCAAATTATAAATGATTACTACCTTTTCCATACAATGGTTACTAACAAGAAAAGACAAATTTATCTACCATACATATAGTGGTATACCACTTTGCAAATTAAATTTTAAAAATCCTCAGGTCCTTATTAATTCTTCCATTCACACATAATAGGCTCTCTTGTTGGAATATAAAACAGACCTTTCCTGAGAGCTCTGCTAATGACAATAAAGACATAACAGCTTGCCCTACTATCTGCCAGCGTATATGCATATATATGTAACTAAAAAGCGTTGAGCCCAGCTAGGTAGTGTTGGATGTATGTGCACAAAACCATCTGTAGAGGGGCTCAGACATGCAGCCTTGAATCTATTAACCCTTGACCCCCTGACCCCAGTACCACAACTGGCTTCCTAGGGGTCCATACAGTTCCCAGAAACAGCTTGATTTAAAACTATATATACAAAAGAATGAAATTCTGCCATTTGCAGCAACGTGGATGAGCTTGGAGAAAATTATGTCAAGTGAAATAAGCCAGGCACAGAGAGAAATATCATATGTTCTCACTCATATACGAAAGCTAAAAAAGATGATCTCATAGAAGTAGAGAGTAGAATAGTGGTTACTAAAGACTGGTGGGGGAAAGGGGATGGATGGGGCATGGGGAGAGGGTGGCCAGTGGATACAAAATAGTAGAGAGATAGAAAGAATGAGATGTAGGGTTCTATAGTACTATAGGGAGACTCCAGTTAACAACAAAATCCTGTGTGTATCTTTGAATAGCTAGTTGAGATGATGTTGAATGTTCCTAACATAAAGAAGTGACAGATGTTTGAGGTGTGTATACATATATATACACACACACATTCACATATGTACAAACACTAAGCACCCTGATATGATCGTTTCAAACGGTATGAATGTATCCAGATATCATATTGAGCTCCATAAATATATACAATTATCATGGGTCAATTAAGAAAAATAAATTAAAAAGAAAGAAAAAAGAGACTATATAGAGAGTAGAATAGTGGTTACCAGAGGCAGGGAAAGGGAGGCGAAGGGGGGCAGGGAAAGGTTGTTAGACTAGTACAAAGTCACAAAGTTATAGTCAGATAGGAAGAATAAGTTCTGCTGCCCTAGGGTGACAGCAGCTCATAATATTGTGTTGTATATTTCAAGATGGCCAAAAAAGAGGATCTTGAATGTTCTACTACTGAGAAATGACAAATGTTTAGGTGACAGACATGCTAACTATTCTGACAGGATCACTTTACAATATATTCATGTATTGAAATAACAAACTATACCCCATAAACATGTACAATGAAACAAATTAAATTATATACCAAGAAAAGTACACACAACAAAATAAAACTGGGGGAGAAAACATTTCATATTCAAAGTAACAGGGTTTTAGTAAATAAAACCAATATAATGAGTATTAAATTTTCAAAAAAGTGTTTAACAGTCTTTTGTTGATGACACCAGTGGATTTTGGCTTTTACCCTGTATCAGGGTGGCCACCCGCATTTCTTAACTCAGATTATCAGGACCAAGATGGGGCTTTTTCTTTCCTTTGTATGTGTGTTTCACAGAAAGTAGTTTTATAAGCATATGGACTAAACTGAGCAGGAGAGAAACATTCACAATAAGTGTTAGGGTAAGCATTTTTTAATTCTGAGAGTTCTATAATTAATAGATTTACTAAAGTACATATAGGAGATTAAAACTTAATCTCAAATCAACAGACTCAGTCAAAATCATACGTTTTAACAAAATGAACAGGACTCGCCTTCCCAATCCTAGAAAACCTAAACTTGACTTGAAGTTCAAAAGTGGAAACTGAATATAAATAATAGCCAACATTCTATTACAAGATGCTTGGTTAGTTTAGAGTGTGTTACCACCAATGATGTGTGTTTAGAGTGTGTGACCACCACAGAAGGTTTTGTAAGAATGGATTAAATATTTTCACAAATCCTTAATAGTAGGTAATTTTGAGTACTGGAGGTGATCTGAGATGCCACACTCCTACTTTGTCCATTGTACCTAACCTGTGAGAAAATCATCTTCCCTATGCACCGAATAGGACGATTTGTGTATGTTATAATCAGTAACAGCCATGTAGCAATAAAAATTTATATTCTTTTAACAAAGAGAATGAATCTTGGATGGAATGACATTTCTTGAGTTACTGAATCTAAAAAGAGAAAGTTCTCTAAGAACAAGTGATAAAGAAACCTCCTGGTCTAAAAATTCAAGAATACTAATTCAGACTTACCTTTTGATTTAATCAATAATTTTCATTAAAAGCAGGCTTTAGAGTCAGACAAATGTGGATTTAAAATCCAACCCCATCACTTCTTGTGTAGCCTTTGGCAAGTTATTTCTCTCAGTGTCAGTTTCATCTTTAAAGTGTCAATAATAACATTTATTTTATACAGTTATTATCAGGATTAAAAAAGAAGATATATAAGAAGTACTTTGCATACTGCCTGACATATTATAAGGACCCAAAAAAATGTTTAACCATTAAGTTCGGAATTCTAGTAAAATGATTTTCCATTAAGTGTTTTTTATTTTTTTTGTCTTTTTCGTGACCGGTAAGGGAATCGCAACCCTTGGCTTGGTGTCGCCCACACCGTGCTCAGCCAGTGAGCGCAGCGGCCATCCCTATATAGGATCCGAACCCGTGGCGGGAGCGCCAGTGCGCTCCCAGCGCCGCACTCTCCTGAGTGCACCACTGGGCCGGCCCGAGTTTCCATTAAGTGTTGTATGACAAAAGGCAAATCTTATTTCATGGCCTGACCCAACTCCTTACCCAAACCAAAACTGTGTTGTGTAGATGAATGCTTACAATCAGGGAGCTATTAGATAAGGCTTAATAATATTTTGTTGGAGCATTTGTAAAAGTCAGCTTTTTGGCCTGTAGACCAAATTCTTAAAACATGGATCCTGATCACATTTATGAATAAAACCATCATCCTTTTTCTGAAGAGTACTACCTTTTGATACCCAGTTAATTTCTTTACCTACAGCTAAAAATAATCCCCCCCACAAACCCCAAATGTATTTTATGATTCAATTATCAGTACAGAAGTTATGCTCTTTAATTCTTGATCCAAACAGAATGAAACGAAAGTGGTCACTTAGAGCTTAACAGGGTTTAACAAATACGTAACCAGTTCCTTCCTATTCCTTAACTGCCAGTTCCTCCAATCATTTTACTGACCTATTTCACCACAATAAAGGATCGAGGTTTTCTGAGACAGTATCTTCCCATGGCACAATCTGGCAGCCTTCTCTGCTCCCCAGCCTCTCAAGGTCCTGCTCACTGCCCAAGCCTAGTTCTCCAGGTTCCTACTCACCAGTGAGCTTCTCTGTGTCCTCCTAGCAAATCCCGTTTCAGCTCAACTTAATCAGAGTTGGTTTCATTATTTCACAACTCTAGTATAACGAATATTTACTGAGGAAGTACGGTATAGTGCATAACAGCACAGCTTCCCCCAACTGCCCAGATTCATACCCCAGCTCTACCGCGAATTTGTTTTTGATTTGGGCAAGTTACTTAACTCCTAAACTTTTTTTCAGGTTCCTCATCTGTAAAATGGATATAACAGAAGTTCATACCCCTCATGGAGTTATTCTGAGCACCAAATAGATAGAAAGGACAGTATAAATATATACAAAAGACATACAAAGTTAATATACATAAAGTACACAGGACACATAGGGACAGTGTCTGGAACATAGTTCATGCTCAAGGAATGTCAGCTGCTTGTTTTCCTGTTGTTGTTATTGTGGTGGTGGTGGTTTGCTCAGTGCTTCTTAGGCTCAGAGTACAAGAGGGAATTACAAAAACAGAGGACACGGGCCGACCCCGTGGCGCACTCGGGAGAGTGTGGCACTGGGAGCGCACCGGCGCTCCTGCCGCGGGTTCGGATCCTATATAGGGATGGCCGGTGCGCTCACTGGCTGAGCGCGGTGCAGGCGACACCAAATCTAAAAAGAGAAAGTT